TTAGGCTTGGGCGCAAGCCGGGTACTTGTGGTTTTTGTCCTACCTGCTACTTGACTTGATTTGTACAAGTACTAATTTTTTTTACTTATACTTATACTTGATTCGTTCAAGTACTTAACTATTCAAGTACTTGCCTATATTTTCAATACTTGCAAATTACTTGTTAATACTTGATACTTGTTTATTTAGCTTTAAAATTTTGAAATTAAATATACCACAACATATAAGTTTTGGTTAACGTGGAATATATATATGTTTTTTTCATATAGTTTGTTTTTTTACTTAATTTATTCAAGTTATTTGATTTAGTGTGTATATATAATTCATTGAATATAAGTATATATTACAATAAATGCCTAAAAAGCTAAAAATAAATAAATAAATTTATTACAAGAAAAGTAGTAAAAAAGTATATTAAGAGATAGTACAAATTTTTAGAATTAATATTAAGTAATCAAATAAGTAACAGATTTTTAGAATTAATATTAAGTAATCAAACAAGTAACAAGCCGAGTATTACAAAAATTTGTGATACTTAATACTTGACTTCTACTTGCAAGTAAATATGATTTACATACTTGTTACTTGTCTTGAAAACGCCAAGTACTTGATTTTTCAAACCGAGTACGAATCAAGTAGCAAGTATTGACGAGTAACAAGTATTAGTGTCCAGCCCTAGGTATTTTTACTTATCGGGTCGGGTTCGGATATTTTTAGTTCGGGTTCGGTTATTTCGGATCGGGTTCGGATATTTAGATTTTGAAGAAAAAAATGTCAAAATTTTTATTACGTAAGTTTCATGTATTTAAAATGTAACTATTAACTTAACTGTTTTTAAATTTTTAATAAGTTAGACGATTAATAAGTTTGAAAATAAATTATTGAAAATAAAATTCATTATTTTGGTTGTTATTTTCAAATTTTGGATGCAAATTTTGTTAAAATATGAAATAAGAAGCTTAATATGCATTTTAAATGAGTAATAAATCAATTTGTTTTACAATTATATGTGTATTATCTGATCTTAAACTATATATAACATTAGTATAAATATTTTTAATAAAATGAGACAAATAAATTAGGAATAAATAGGTATATATACATATGTTCGGTTATTTTCGGATATCCGTTCGGGTTCGGTTATTACCCGTTCGGGTTCGGATATCCAAACTCTCCTAACTCAATACCCGTTCGGGTATTGTGCTACTTCGGTTCGGATTTCGGTTCGGATATTTCGGATCGGGTTCGGGTACGAGTTCGGGTATCGGGTAAAGTGCCCACCCCTAATGAAGCTCATGGGTCTTCAACTCTTATAAATCAAAATATAAGACAGAATTGTTTGCCCTTAAAGGGCAAAGCAGTGAGAAATTTACATTATCTTAAAAGTGTATTTTCTGTAACACTTAAAAGTATATAGTACTACTAGTATGTTATCATGTTTCTTGTGCAGATCATCTTTCACAAACTAAAAAAAAGACATAACTATTAAATGTTTCTTGTTTAATGGAATGTTCTAAAAGTCAAACATCTAGAAGCTCTATGGGTGGTGTTTGCACTATTTTTTTTTCCATTTACGGAATCTTTTCTTCCCCACCATGAACCCCAAATCCCAAACACACACTTATCTGAGAGATGGAATCCCAAAACACACACTCCCACTTATCTGAGAGAAGGAAGTTGATTTATAGATATATATACATTGTAAGGATCTTTTTTCTCAATCTTAGTGACACTACATTAAGCCAAAAGAAGACTAAATTAACAACACTGTATTTCACTCATAAACTGCTTTTCATGATTCATCCTCCATATGTAAAAACAAATCAAACATTGCAATATTTGAGCTAATATATAATTTCCCTATAAAAAACTGTTAGTTCATTGCTGGTTTGGTCTCTGTTTCTTATTGTTCTTTGTCTTTGGAGCTGGTGGCTTCGGACCATACAGACAGATACGTAGACTTCCTTCTAGCACTCTCTGGTGGAAACAGTTCTTATACAAATCCCAAAACTCGTCTCTGCAAAATTTCAAGATAATTTATATTTAAGAACTCTTAACTCAAAAAATATAAGGTGAAGTATGAAGAAGACAACTTGTTGAAGAGTGGAGAAACAAACCTGACTTGGGGAAAAGTGAATAATGAAAACCCCTTGACATCTGTGTGCATGTCGAGCACAATCATATCTAAACGTGAAAGTCCTAACGCATCTATGTCGATTAGCTTTTTTAATTCTGCTCGGTGTGCCGCTCCCAATATTAACCAGTTTTTTTCCAACAAAGATACCTGCACCAACACTGAATTTTTTAGTTAATATTAATACAAAACACAAACAACAAGAAGAATATGACGTAAAAGCAATGCTATGATGTTAGATTTTTACTACTAATGTAAAAAAAAAATGAAACAAGAGCTGGGGTCAGACTGACGTGCAAATATTAGGTTCAGCATTGCATATGCCTATGTAATATCGATATCTTATCATCATTCTCCAGACTCTTGTAATGAAATAAACTACTAAAGGAATGAAAAATATGATTATATGCATTAAAACAAAAAAGGGATGGGTACATAATGGGATCAGACTGACGTGCAAATATGTTATTCAGCATTGCAAGTGCCTATGACATACTGATATATCTTATCATCACTTCCCATACTCTTATCATGAAACAAACAAAGGAGAAATGGATGAGTAAGGTTACATGAGTATGCATTAACTACTAATGTTATCTATAAAGGGATCAGACTGACGTGCAAATATGTTGTTCAGCATTGCATGTGCTGCCTATGACATATTGATATATCTTATCATCACTTCCCATACTCTTATCAATAAAGAGGGCATAACTTACATGAGTATGCATTAACTCCTAATGTTATATAAAATGGATCAGACTGACGTGCAAATACATTTCTATCTGCAGAGCATTAGCCTTAGAGATTTTGTATTTTTGTCATCATATCCATCAAAGTTTAAAAGAAAGCAAGAAACATTCATCAACAAGAGTGAATCAAAACAAGAAGCTCACATTGTATCTACAGTAAAACATTCGTCTCTTTCACTATATGCATTGCATTGATTTAACTTCTCTAAAAAAGAAACCTTGTAATAATAGAACACTATACCTGCTCCTCAACTTTCAAATGCTTTGAAAAAACAACTTCAAAGCTATACATTGCTTAGTCAGTAAATGCAAACCCCTACAGATTATCATAGAAGCCTACAAGGCTACAAGAACACAAATTCATAACAATACCTTAGAAGTTCCAAAGATCTAAGAGCAGAGGAGCTCACAACGAGAACAGATGGGTTCCCAAGGATCAACTTTCCCTTCAAAAGCCTCTCCTTCACAAAGAGTCTCTCTCCATGAAGATCCAAAACAAAAAGGACGAACCTTTAATGGGATCTAGCTCCAAAGAAGAGACCTTTACACCAATGGCTGAGTCTAGGTGCTTCAATAAGAAGCTTAGCTGTTCAGAAGCTGATGCTGGTTGTTGCTCATCACCGTTGGTCTCACTATTGTGGTCGTTTCTTTCAACGGTGTTGTCAAAGGCGCGAACTTTCTTCTTCTTCTTCAGCTTTTTCTTCGGACCAAGTGATGGGTTTCGCCTTCTTCAAGTCTTTCTTGAATCTTTTTAGGGTTTTTGTCGGCGGAGGGTTTAACCTCTGTGGTCGCCATGTTTTTTTTTTTTTTTGTTGAGAGTGTGATGACAAAGGTATAATGAGAAGCGGCGTTATAAAGAGATACAAGTTTAGGTTTAGCCTTGTCTTGTTTCTTAAACCGGTTTGCTTAACGATTTATTTAATACTTTTTGTCAAATCCATCTCAAACCCGTTAACCAATAACAAACCAAATTGGTTAAGATTAACCGAACCCGGTTTAGATTACAACCATTTCTTAAACTGCTGATGGAGATGGAATATTGATTGGTAGAGCATTAGCATACTCTCTATTATCCAATCAACATTTGGCAAAGAAGCATTTAGAAAAGCATTTACCATATGCAAATGCTCTCCAAATGCTATTTGCTCAATGCTCTCATATAGAGCTTTTGGGAGAGCATTTGCATATAGAAAATATAAAACTTAACAATATTTATATATAATTAATTTATTTTTGTTTAAAAATATAAACAATATTTTTATAATTAAATATAAATTTATATTTAAAAAAATAAAAATAAAATTATAATTATTTTTTTAAAATAACAATATTTCACATTTAAAATATAATATAATTTATATAATTACATATATCATTCATTATTTTTACTATAACATAATATAAATTATATATTATTGATATAAACATATTATTTAGACACTAATAAATAAATTATATATTAACTTTTATGATAATTTTATATATGAGTAATTTAGTGCTCTACCAATAAATAAATAATAATAATTTATATATAAATTATAATTAATTTTTATATAAAATATAATTAATTAATTAATTATTTAATTTAATAATAATTATAATTTAATAATAATTAATTAAATTATAACTATAATTTTATATATGAGTAATATGTTATATCCAAAATAATTTAATATTTTTTAAAAAACTTTAAAATTTTAAATATAATTATATAGTGAAATTCATTATTTTTAATAAAATTATATATTATTAATTTATTATATATATAAATTATTTTAAAAGTAATATATTATTTTACTAACTATTATGATAATTTTAAAATCGTATACTGCTAATGCTCTGTCAATCAATTTATTAAAAACTTTAATGAAATCATACAGCTTCTGTAGCATACTGCTTCTGCAATCGAGGGGTATTACTATTAACGATCCAGATAATAAGACTATTTAGACAAAACAGGCATGTCTTCTCTTACAGGATCACGTGCTCCAACATCCGAACCACGTACGGCTCATATTACTCCCTTCGCTTTTAAGACATAAACACTCTTATAATAATAATTAGACAATTAAACAAAAAAGTCTCCTCTCTTTTTTTTTCTCCTCAATCGTCAAAACAGATTTCACATTTTGACTTTTTTTTTCCCGGTGCTGAGATCCGATTTCTCGCCGCGAATTGCACCGTTGATTTCAATCGAATTTCCTTTGGAACATGAAGCTGATGATCGTAGGTACGGTGGATTTTTCATTTTCGTCTTAATTGGCTTTGTCCTCTGATCGAAAATGACATGATCTGAGATTCCTATTTCATCATTTGGTTTTAGTCTCTTGAAAACAACATTGTCCTTTTGATTTGACACAAAATTTGGAAAAAAAATTCAATTAATCAGAATGTATATTATATAACCTTGCCTGATATGAAGAACAACAGATCAAAGAGAAATGTAGTGTAGTCGAATTGTTGTAAGGTAATGATTACAGAACAAAAACAAAAAGAGTCAGAAAGATGACAAAGGTGAAGAAGACTTTTTGTGTGTGTTTTTGAAGGTTCTGTTTTTGGTGGGTCCTTTCATGATTTGCACCTTTATAGATGTTCTTCTCCTTTTTTTTTACATTGTTTGATTCTGAGTGATCAAAGGAAACTGCGTTGACTCAACTCAATTATAGTGTTTGATTAATGTGGAATAATGAGTTGTTTTATTGTTTCAGTGTGATGCAGTTGCTAGCTACGGTGGATTGATGCTAGAATAGAGATATTTGATGCGGTTTTATTCTAAAGGTTGAACAATGCTCGAGAATCAATCCTCAGAGTTTAGTGAGAACGGTGGAGATGAGAGCACACGACAGCTTTGTGCAAATGGACTATTCATGAAAACAACTGAAGTTGAAGCAAAGCTTGATGAAGGAAACATCCAAGAAGCTGAGTCCTCTTTGAGAGAAGGCTTATCACTCAACTCCGAGGTTTGTTTGTTTGTAATCTTCCAAACTCTTACAAGAAAGGATCTCTTGTCTCTCAGTTTTTGTATGGTTACAGGAAGCAAGAGCACTTCTTGGAAGACTTGAGTACCAAAGAGGCAATCTAGAAGGCGCGCTTCGTGTCTTTGAAGGTATTGATCTTCAAGCAGCCATCCAGAGGATACAAGTCTCTGCTCCTCCCCCTGAGAAGCCAGTTACTAAGAAAAACCGTCCTCGTGAGCCACCGCAACAATCAGTTTCACAGCATGCTGCTAGCTTATTGCTTGAAGCTATCTACTTGAAAGCCAAGTCACTTCAAAAGCTTGGGAGAACAACCGGTAAAAGCCTCTTAATCTTAATAACATTTTGTAAATCTTTCCTTACTGTTTTTCTTATAAATCTGCAGAGGCTGCACGAGAATGCAAAAGCGTTCTTGATTCCGTCGAGAAAATCTTCCAGCAAGGTATATCTGATGCTCAAGTTGACACAAGACTTCAAGAAACCGTTAGCCACGCCGTGGAGTTACTCCCTGCTCTATATAAAGAGTCTGGTGATTATCAAGAAGCTATATCTGCTTATAGACGTGCGCTTTTAAGCCAATGGAATCTTGATAACGACTCTTGTGCAAGGATACAGAAAGATTTTGCAGTCTTTCTTCTACATTCCGGTGTAGAAGCGAGTCCACCGAGCTTAGCTTCTCAGGTGGAAGGCTCTTACATACCTAGAAACAACTTAGAAGAAGCCATTCTTCTTCTCATGATTCTTGTCAAGAAGTTCAACACCGGGAAAGCGAAATGGGATCCGTCGGTGATCGAACACCTTACCTTTGGGTTATCTTTATGTAGTCAGACCTCTGTACTCGCCAAGCAGTTTGAAGAAGTGATGCCTGGTGTGTTCAGCCGTGTTGAGCGTTGGAACAACTTGGCGCTTTGTTATAGCGCAGCTGGTCAAAACAGTGCTTCTGTTAACCTTCTTAGAAAGTCTCTGCATAAGCATGAGCAACCTGATGATCTCGCTGCGCTTTTGCTAGCTGCTAAGCTTTGCAGTGAAGAGCCTTCTTTAGCTGCAGAAGGCGCGGGCTACGCGGAGAGAGCGGTAAACAATGCTCAAGGGATGGATGAGCATTTGAAGGGTGTTGGTTTGAGAATGTTGGGACTTTGTTTAGGGAAGCAAGCTAAAGTCCCCACGTCGGATTTTGAAAGATCTAGGCTTCAGTCTGAATCATTAAAAGCATTAGATGGAGCTATAGCTTTTGAGCATAACAATCCTGACTTGATATTTGAGTTAGGTGTTCAATACGCTGAGCAAAGGAACTTGAAAGCTGCGTCTCGTTACGCCAAAGAGTTCATTGATGTAACTGGAGGGTCGGTGTTGAAAGGTTGGAGGTTTCTGGCTCTTGTCTTGTCTGCTCAGCAACGGTTTTCAGAAGCTGAGGTTGTGACTGATGCTGCTTTAGATGAAACTGCTAAGTGGGATCAAGGGCCTTTGTTGAGACTTAAGGCAAAGCTGAAAATCTCTCAGTCTAATCCGACAGAAGCAGTTGAGACTTACCGTTACCTTCTAGCTTTGGTTCAAGCTCAGAGGAAATCTTTTGGACCTCTCAGAACTATTTCTCAGGTTACCAAATCTCTGTTCTGTCTTTATTCTCATCCAAACCTGTTTCTTAATCCTTTTTACAAATGTAACAGATGGAGGAAGACAAAGTTAATGAGTTTGAAGTATGGCATGGCTTAGCTTACCTTTACTCAAGCCTTTCGCATTGGAACGATGTAGAAGTCTGTCTGAAGAAAGCCGGCGAGCTGAAACAATACTCTGCTTCAATGCTGCACACAGAAGGCAAGAATCAAGAACCTAACTAAATATCTTTAAAGTTCATTTCTTAAATTTGCTCATGTTTGGTTTGAATCTTGTTATGTTCAGGTCGAATGTGGGAAGGAAGAAAGGAGTTTAAACCGGCTTTAGCTGCTTTCTTAGATGGTTTATTACTAGACGAATCATCGGTACCTTGCAAAGTAGCCGTTGGAGCGTTGTTGTGTGAAAGAGGGAAAGATCATCAACCTACACTTCCTGTTGCGAGAAGCTTGCTGTCTGATGCGTTGAGGATTGATCCGACAAACAGAAGAGCTTGGTATTACTTAGGAATGGTTCATAAACACGATGGACGTATAGCTGATGCAACTGATTGCTTCCAAGCTGCTTCAATGCTAGAAGAATCTGATCCTATTGAAAGCTTCTCAACCATTCTTTAAGCATTACCAAAACCAATTTTTTACACAGATTTATTATTGTTTCATTATTAATATGTAAAATTAACCTTTTAATTTCTTCAAACTAAATGGTTTTGAACCACACACTGAACAATTTCAAAAGAAATGCACACAACATACTTAAGTGTGAGTCTTGTCTCTTGTCAATATAACACAAACTGAACCAAGTTAAACGAAATGCATTCAACATGACAAAAGAGTTGAGTCTTGTTTTTTGTCAATTAAAAAACTATGGTCTTAAACTCAAAATCTACAAAGTGAACTAAAGTGTTGTCCAAAAAAAAAAAGAACTAAGTCAAAAGAAATGCAACACAAGTAACACAGGAGTGAGTCTTGTTTCTTGTCCACTAGTTCTTGGGGCAGTTAACACAAGAGTGAGTCTTCTATTGTCAGACATAACACTACGATTTTTAACTGAAAATTCACAAACGAAGTCAAAAGAAATGCATACAACATAACACAAGAGTTTAGTCTTGTCTCTTGTGCACTAGTTCTTGGGAATGTTAGAAGAAGAGTGAATCGTCTATTGTCATATATAACACAATATGGTTTAAACTCAAAATCCACAAACAGAACCAAGTGAAGAAATGCAATAACACAAGAGTTGAGCCTTGTATCTTGTCCATTAGTTCTTGGGAATGTCAGCACAAGAGTGAGTCTTGTCTTTTCTCAACATAGCAATCTGGTTTTAAACTCAAAATCCCCAAACCGAACTAAGCGAAAGAAATGCATTCAAGGATAACAAAAGAGTTGAGTCTTTGTCTCTTGTCAACAAAACGCAATAAGAGCATTAGCATCAATAAATCCCTGGTGGGGTTCGTGATTTTAATTTTTTAATTTTTCTTTTTTCGTTTGACTTTTTTTTTAAGAAAAAAAAAAGAAAAAATGACCAATAGCGGGCTGCCATGTGGCGTGGAGCCCGCAAAAACAGTAATGAACCGGTTCAGCAGTAACAACATTCGCGAGCTGGAGTTCATCAATGTTCATTATTATAATATTTTTATTTTTGGGAAGTGTGTGAACTTGGGTATAAACCCTGATGCTGCTGCTCTAACGGTTTAAAACTCAAAATCCACAAACTGAACAACAAAGTCAAAAGAAATACAACACAACATAAAGACAAGAGTCTAGTTCTTTGGGATATTGACTCCAACAATCTTAGCAGGAGTAATCCTAAGAAGATTCCCAGGCTTACCAAGCAAAGCACCATTAATCAACACAACATTTAACTCCTTATCAACCCTAACAATCCTAAGCTTCCTAATCTTAGTCCTGGTCCCACCCATCCTCCCAGGCATCTTCTTCCCTTTGTAAACCCTCCCAGGCGTCGTCCCCGCACCAATCGACCCCAAAGCCCTATGACTCTTCGACCCATGAGTCATCTGCCCTCTCTTGAAATTATGCCTCTTGATCCCTCCCTGGAACCCTTTCCCTATCGTCGTCCCCGCCACGTCGACAAAATCCCCTTCCTTGAAAATCTCGTCGAACACAAGCATCTGGTTCGGTTCAAACCCTTCGACATTGGTCAACCGAAACTCCTGGAGATGTCTTAAAGGGATTATACCGGATTTTTGGAGGTGACAGGTTTCCGGTTTGGTTAGTTTCTTTTCGCGTACGCGGCGGTAACCGACTTGAACGGCATCGTATCCGTCGGTGGCTGAGGTTTTGACTTGTGTCACGGTGTTGCCTTCGTGGAAACCAACGACGGTTACGGGGACCACGGTGCCGTCTGGTTCGAAGAGAGACATCATGCCGAGCTTTGAGGCCATCACGTTTGGGAGAGGGTTTGGTGAGGAAGGAAGTGGGTTTGGGTGGGAGGAAGGTTTGGGTGAGTAGTGAAGTTGCTTTGTTGAGTGAAGTTGGGAAGGAGAGAGAGGACATTGTTATCGCCATTTTCGGGAGAGAGCTATACAGAGAATAAGAGATTGGAGAGGATAAAGAGTCTTATCTTCTTCTTTTTTTGCTTTATTTTCTCAGAACCTCAGAATTTAGATTTATACTTTACTCATGTTTAATTATATATTAAAATTTTAAATTATTATATAGTAATAAATAATTTTTTGGTCAAGTAGTAATAACTATTAGACATTATATAGAGATAAATCTAATTATCATTAAGTTTATGTTTGCTTTGTCATTAGGGTAGTAAAAATCATAAGAACATGACAATTAGATTTACTATCCTTAATGTCGAAGCAAACATAAACTTAATGACTAATTAGATTTATTACTATATAATGAATAATTAGATTTATTATAATCATTAGTCTAGATAATGATAATCATCAAATCATAAGAAACATGACAAATAAGATTTGTTTCTAATTATTATATAGTAATAGATCTAATTAGTCATTATATAGTAATAAATCCAATTAGTCATTAAGTTTATGTTTGTTTTGTCATTAAGGGTAGTAAATCTAATTAATATACGGTTCATAATTATATAATAATAATTTTAATTAATCATTAATTTAGGGTAATAATTAATCATTAGTCAAAATTATAAAAAACATGATAAATAAGTATAATTACATAAAATTATGGAGAATATGATAAATCAGCAAATTCACTTTTTAAATCTAATTAATTTATTGTTACTTATATATTAATTCAGTTTTAGTTTATGGTTTATTAATATCAACTATTTTTAGATAATAATAGTCATCAAATCAGAGAGATTTGTTTCTAATTTATGGTTGATTATATATTAATTAAATATATTTTTCTGATAACAACACAATATATAGGAATTATCTTTTTATTTTATTTTAAAATATATATTTAGATTATGGATAGTTCTTATCATTATTATTAATTTAAATCATTTATCTAATCAAATAAATATAAATTCATTTTTTATTTTTGGCTGATTTATATATTTTATTCAGTAACGGTATAAACGATATTAACCACTCCAACTTTTAACGTGGGAGCTCTGTTGCGAAAAATCACTTCGCAAATTTAAATCATTTATCTAATCAAATAAGTATAAATTAGTTTTTTTTTTTTGGCTGATTTATATATTTTATTCATTAAGGGTAAAAACGATATTAACCACTCCAACTTTTAACGTGGGAGCTCTGTTGCGAAAAATCACTTCGCAAATTTAAATCATTTATCTAATCAAATAAATATAAATTCGTTTTTTTTATTTTTGGCTGATTTATATATTTTATTCATTAAGGGTAAAAACGATATTAACCACTCAAACTTTTAACGTGGGAGCTCTGTTGCGAAAAATCACTTCGCAAATTTAAATCATTTATCTAATCAAATAAATATAAATTCATTTTTTTTTATTTTTGACTGATTTATATATTTTATTCATTAAGGGTATAAACGATATTAACTACTCCAACTTTTAACGTGGGAGCTCCGTTGTGAAAAATCACTTCGCAAATAATAGTATAGATACGTGATTAGTTAACCACTACAGTATTTTACTTCTTAAACGTTAATCGTTTCACTATAATCAAAATTTATATTTTTTTCAACCTAAATACCTTAAACTCCTAAACTAATTTGTTCTTTTTACCAAATCCCTAATTCGATGTAAGAACAAAAAATAGATTTAAAGATGATGAAAATGTATTTTAAGATTTAATGGAGAATAATAAAAAGAATTATTAAATGAATAACCATAGACAACTAGTAAATCAAAATCATTTTTCTCTCAATCCTCTGATTTTTTAAGATTTGTGTATTTAGGTGGATTGATCTAGAGGTATGATCCAGGTAGATTTGTTCCTTATTCAGCCTTAATTTGTAATATAAATCCTCAGATTTATTTTTAAATTTTTTTCTCTCTGTTTTGGCTTAGTTGGATTGATGAAGCGGTTACCCGAGGTTGATAAGTTTATGTTTCAATCTGAGGATAAGTTTCTGTTTCAGTTGTAATTTGAATATCGTGTAGTCGATTTTGTTTTGATAAGTTTCTCTTTCGTTCTTGTGTGTAGATGGTTGATCAAGAGGCATCACACAGTTTTTTTTAGAGCAAAGGCGTACGATTGATCAATAAGGTAAAGCATATCTCTCTGCTCTGTTGTGATAAAGAAGATTGTGGTTGAATTAAATAGTTGTGGTTGATCAGTTAGGTGTTTGCTACTAAACTATAGTATTAATAAAGATGGTAGACTAGGTTAGATTAGGCATTACCTAAAATCATTCATTGCATTAGTCTAGAATATTCATTTAGCAAAATTTCGATTTTTTTTTATGAAGGTATCTGGTCGAATAAACATTCTAGTTTTTCTTCTACTCATTCCCACAACTGCGCAGTCAGATAATTATATTCTGGTAATATTGTTTTTCATTTAGGGTTTTAAAAGCTACAGATATACTTGGGTGATATAATTTTATACTGATATGTTATTTTTCTTTCAAGGCTTCCGACGGAGAGAAGTGCATAGAGCAGAATAAGCAACTAGCTTTAAAACATATGTTACGAATCCACAAAATCCAGGTACTTTTAGAAAAGATAGTTATTCATTTATATTGGATTCAATAACAATTATCTTTAAATTCATATGTTGATATACTATTTTCTTAAGTAAGCTAGTATTTTTTTATTGTAAACAATATATAAAAAACAACATCAGAATATCCTATTATGAATAAGTTTCAAAAGAAAAGCATCTAGCAACTTCCAAAGCAAAAATTAGCACGGTGAAATGTGAGATCGTAACATTTCAGAGACGAAATGTGGGAATATATAAGAACATCCTTCTTGTTCATGTTATTTCAAAATGAAGTTGTGTATAATGCCTTAGTCAAAAAAAAATCATGTATTTACCATAGCTTAAATAAAATAAGTTAAACTTATGTTTTCAACAAAAAAAAAAACCTTATATAGAATATTACAAATTATATTTTTAATATCAAGGGATTAGAAACTTTTTTTCAAAATAATAATTTATGCATTCTCTATCATTTGGGCTACAATACTTCATGAACTGGGCCTCCATAAATTAATTTTCATAACTTCTGAAAAAAACAGTCATGTATTTGGCATAACTTAAACAGTTTTATTGTTACAAAATTTAAAATAATAATTAAAATTATGCTTTAAAAATACATCTTGAGCGAACTACTTTTTAACGTTTATGAGGTGTATTTAATGTAGTGTTTGAAGTAATCTGATTTTTAGTGAGTTTTAAGATTATTTTAAAACACTCTAAAAGTAATACTTCTATATAAATGTCACTTTAGCTTTTTAATTTTGTTTCAAAAAAGTGTTATTCTACAATCCCTATGTAATTTTGTACATTAAATCTATTTTTTATCCTTTTGAATAAGCAATAATATTTTACTTAAATTATTTTTATTTAATTAAACATACATTAAATAGGGATATATTAATCTATCATATAACTTTCTTAATTTATATGCAAAGAGTCAAAATGACACTTATTTAAAAACAGATGGAATATGATTTTTGTTAAAACATTATAGAATCTCATCTAAAACTATGAGATTTGAAATTTGTTTTTAACTAAGAAATTCTATTTAAACACTCACACACACACACACGCACGCACGCATGCACACGCACGCACGCAACACACACTCTAACTTGAATTAGATTTTGGATTCAAAGTATTTTATGAAATGTCAAATTCAAATAACAGTGGATTTTAATTTAAAATTTATGATTGTTAAATAATGATATTTTAACATGATATAAAACACATATCATACACACACATATTATAATTAATTAATATTAGATGAATTTACACATAATATTGAATTCTAAACACAACGGATTTCAAAATATTTTATAAAATGTCAAATTAAATAACAATGGATTTTAAATAAGTTTCTAAAATTCATGTTTCGATAAAATAGATTTTCAGATAATGATATTTTAACATGATATAAAACACATAATATGAACACACACACATATATAATTAATTAGTATTAGATGAATTTACAAACAGTATTGATATATGTTATTAATCTAACTTGAACTAGGTTTTGGATTTTAATAGGAATATCATAAAAAGTTTTTCAGGGTGACGAATACAACAGAACCGGAGGCTATAATCTTGACGAACCTGGTTTTATACAAATTAGTAATAATATTGTATTGCTCCTTGACAATCATCTTGTTTTTTTTGTTGAAGAAGAAAATATTATGAAACAACATGCTCTAATAGATGGGAACTCACATTTTCGTAAACAGTTATTTGTTTTTATCGTCAATAAATGCAAACATCAAAGCAAATCAAACAATAGCTTTTTTACAGTTTTCTTAATTTTTCCTTATTTTGTATTTGTGTTTTGTTAATTTTACTTATATTTTTCTTATTTTTCATATATTATGCTATTTTGTTTAATAGATTGATTGCGTGAGAAAAAACAGTAATTCCACCGTGAATTCAATATTATACAGATCATTCATTTCATTGTACCAAAACATTTAATCAGAGTTTCTAAGATGATCCAAAGGAGGCTACGGGCTTTAACTGCATGCCCTTTTCTTTTGGCATATTCTCACTTTTCTTAAAAACATTATTAACATCAAAATTTAGATAACATTATCATTCTATCAATGATTAAGTAAATATATGCTTTATCATTGGCCAGAAGATATTTTTAAAACCTTAGTAGATCATATAACGTCTGGTGTCCTGGTTTTATACAAACCAGTGGCAACATTGTTATTGGATGAGCTATTTTTCTCCAGTTTCCTCTTTTGAAAGTAGCCAGTTTGAAATTACTGTGAAAGTATGGCAATGAAAGGTTAGTATCTGATCGCTTATCATTTCTATCTATTCAGTGATATTCTATATAGTTTCCTTGTCAAACTTTTGTTAATACATTTTGTAAAATTTTCCTTACTGTCTTTTTAAATCTGTAGAGGCTGTTCTGTAGAGACTGCAAGAGAATGCAAAAGCGTTCTTGATTCCGTCGAAAAAATCTTCCAACAAGAGATATCTGATGCTCAAGTAGACACAAGACTCCAAGAAACCGTTACCTTTGCGTTATCTTTATGTAGTCAGACCTCCGCCAAGCAGCTTGAAGAAGTGATGCCTGGTGTGTTTACAACGTGTTGAGCGTTGGAACAACATGGCGCTTTGTTATAGCGCAGCTGTTCAAACCAGTGCTGCGGTTAACCTTCTTAGAAAGTCTCTGCATAAGCATGAGCAACCTGATGATCTCGTTGCGCTTTTGCTAGCGTCTAAGCTTTGCAGTGAAGAGCCTTGTTTAGCTGCAGAAGGCGCGGGGTACGCGGAGAGAGCTATAAACAATGCTCAAGGGATGGATGAGCATTTGAAAGGTGTTGGTTTGAGAATGTTGGGACTTTGTTTAGGGAAGCAAGCTAAAGTCCCCACGTCGGATTTCGAGAGATCTAGGCTTCAGCCTGAGTCATTTAAAGCATTAGATGGAGCTATAGCGTTTGAGCATAACAATCCTGACTTGATATTTGAGTTGGATCATCTACCAACACTTCCTGTAGCGAGAAGCTTGTTGTCTGATGCGTTGAGGATTGATCCGACAAACAGGAAAGCTTGGTATTACTTAGGAATGGTTCATAAGCATGATGGACGTATAGCTGATGCTACTGATTGCTTTCAAGCTGCTTCCATGCTTGAAGAGTCTAATCCTGTTGAAAGCTTCTCAACCATTCTTTAATCATTACCAAAACCATTTTTTTACACAGATTTATTATTGTTTCATTATTAATATGTAAAATTAACCTTTTAATTTCTTCAAACTACATGGTTTTGTAACACAAACTGAAACTGAACAAAGTCAAAAGAATTGCACACAACATTGCGCAAGAGTGACTCTTGTCAACATAACACTAAGTGAACAAAGTCAAAAGAAATGCATACAACATACAAGAGTGAGTCTAGTCTCTTCTCGACATAACACACTATGGTTTTAAACTCAAACTATCCACAAAGTGAGCCAAGTGAAAATAAATGAATACAACAGTACACACAAGAGTTGAGTTTCTTGTCTACATAACACAATATGGTTTTAATCCCAAGATCCACAAAACGAAGTAAGAAATGCTTTACACAACATAACACAAGAGTAGATGTCTCGTCTCCTGTCCAACTAATTCTTGTGAATGTTAAAAGGAAGAATCAGTCTTGTTTCTTGTCAACATAACACAATATGGCTTTAAACTCAAAATCCACCAAACTGAACAAAGTCGAAAGAAATGCAACACAACGTAAAATAAATCTTGTCTCTTGTCAACAACATAACACAATAACGGTTTTTTAAACTCAAAATCCACAAACTGAACAACAAAGTCAAAAGCAATAACAACACAACATAAAAACAAGAGTCTAGTTCTTAGGAATATTAACTCCAACAATCTTAGCAGGAGTAATCCTGAGTAAATTCCCAGGCTTACCAGGCAAAGCACCATTAATCAACACAACATTCAACTCCTTATCAATCTTAACAATCCTAAGCTTCCTAATCTTAGTCCTGGTCCCACCCATCCTCCCAGGCATCTTCTTCCCTTTGTAAACCCTCCCAGGCGTCGTCCCCGCACCAATCGACCCCAACGCCCTATGACTCTTGGACCCATGAGTCATCTGCCCTCTCTTGAAATTATGCCTCTTGATCCCTCCCTGAAACCCTTTCCCTATCGTCGTCCCCGCCACGTCGACAAGATCCCCTTCCTTGAAAATCTCGTCGAACACGAGCTTCTGGTTCGGTTCGAACCCCTCGACGTTGGTCAACCGAAACTCCTGGAGATGTCTGAGAGGGATGATGCCGGATTTCTGGAGGTGGCCGGTCTCCGGTTTGGTTAGCTTCTTGTCGCGGACGCGGCGGTAACCGACCTGGACGGCGTCGTAGCCGTCGGTGGGTAGGGTTTTGACTTGGGTGACGATGTTGCCTTCGCGGAAACCGACGACGGTTACGGGGACGACGGTGCCGTCGGGCTCGAAGAAGGACATCATGCCGAGCTTTGAGGCCATGACGCCGATTCCGGCTTCGATGGACATGGAGATTGTGAGGGGGCGTTTGGGGGGTTTGGTGAGGAAGGAAAGGGGTTGTTTGGGTGAGAGTGAGAGTGAGAGTGAGAGGGAGGTTTTGGTGAGTAGGGAGGAGGATAAGGTTGTTGGTTTTTGGAGGGGAGTTGGGAAGGAGAGAGACGCCATTGTCATCGACATTTTCGGAGCTATACAGAGAAGAGAAGGGAGAGGATAGACACTCTTCTTATCTTCTTCCTCTTTCTTTCTAGCCTCAGAATTTAGCTTTATACCCCTAAATCTAGTAATAATTACAATACACAGGTCTTTTATTTCCCTTTTAGAATATTGGACCCTTAAATTTCGTATTTTTGTTAATCAAGCATTTTCAAATACGCGATTAGTTAAGTAGTAGAATATTTACTCTAATCGTTTCACTATAAGCAAAATTTATATTTTGTTAGAATATACACAGTATATTTCGTTAAATTTAATTTAATAGAATATAATTTGCTATGTAATTTATTTTATTAATTTATAATAAATATTTTATTATTCTGTGCTATAAACTTTAAAATTATACATATTGTAATTTATACAGTTACCGATCAATAATTTTTAAAAATATAGTAACTCATATTTTTAAAACAAACTTACTACATAAATCTACAGTTTTTACTGCGAGTTACATCGAACTATAACTTTTATACTACCGCAACTCTAATTCAACATATCACCAAATGGAGCATAAATTATTTCAAATACTGATTAATGTTAAAAAATAAAGGTTTTATTAGAATTATATGATATTTTAAAAAATGTATATTAATGATGTTTAATGTTTGTCTAGTTATATATTTCCAATAATCTGGTAAAAATCAAAGTTTTTCTTGTTTGATTAAAAAATACAAAATTAAAACGATGTATCTGTGAAATAAAATTTTTTCGAGTTTCCAACTTTGGTCAAATTATGAAATAAAAATTCTTTTGTTGTAAGTTTTAACTTTAATTTTAAAACTAAGATTATTTTATCAATTTTCACTATTTATTCTAATTTAAATGAAAAAGAAAACAATTGAATTCTCAAAGATGATTGTCACATAATAATGATCAAATTATTGAATAAAAACACTGGAAGTAAAGTTTAATACGGTTCAACACTAGAATAATAATTATTTTCCACACAATTACTTCATGTTTTTTCTAGTAATCAATAGAAATAGATAGCAGAGACTAATGACAACGGTGGTGTTTAGAGACGAGATATAAGAAGCGGAACAGAGGCAGGTCCTTCTTCACCCATCACAAGCTGAAACAAATCCAACACACGCATCATGCAGTCTTCAGCAGCCATAATTCCACTCGAATAAGCACCATGAACCGATCCACCAAAACTCGAGCTCGTAGCTTCACCAGCAAAGAACAAGTTATCCACTGGAACCCTAAGCCTCTCGCTTAGATCATGAGGTTGTCCCACAACATCATAGCTATAAGACCCCAATGAGTTCACATCAGACCCCCACCTCGACACAAGATACTGTACCGGAGCCATAGCATCTGGAAAGATTCTCTTGAGCTGCATGAAGGCGAAACTCGCAGCTGCTTCATCTGACATTTTCTCAATGTCTTTGGCGAGCTGACCAGCCGACATGTAGACTAGAACCGGGTGGCCTGTGGCCTTGTGTAGGTTCAAGAAGTAGCTGCAATTATAGGAGGTTTCAGCGGCTACTCCTAGTAACTCTACTTGTGGCCAGAAGACTTTCTCGAAATGGAGTATGATCTTGTTCATGATTCCTACTCCGAGTTGGTTGATTGCTTCTTGTTTCCAATCTGGTAGCTTCGGTTCGAATGTTATTGTTCCGGATTTTAAGACACCTAGAGGAACAGCGATCACTGCAGCATCCGCAACAAATGTTTTTCCGTCTTCTGTCGTTACTTTCACTCCATTATACTGCCTTACGATCTTAGTAACCCTGTGAAGCAAAAGAAACATAAGAAAATATTCCAACTCTTGCAAAAAAAAAAAACAAGTAGTGGTAGACTAGTGGTAACATTAACTTGGAGAAAAGCAAAAAGTTGTAGTCCTCGGTTAGATTCTTGCTGGAAACAAAATTGTTACTATTTGACTAGACGAAGATGAGGCCATGCTCTAAGCCTCATAAAAAAAAAAAATCAGGGTCAGACTAATTGTTGGTTTCCATGCCCAAACTGATTAATTGTTCATACCAAATGGATTATATCCACTGATAAGTTGTAAAGAGTTTAACCATAGATAAACTCTTATCCTCTTAACCATCCCATCAAATAAGTGGAAGATTCATTAAACTGTGAAATGTTACCATACCATAACGTAATGTGGTTCCAGTGCCAATAAAAAGTAACTTATCTAATAGTATTTAACATCGAGAAAACTGTCAAATAAAATGTGTTTCGAGCCAAAATATCACAAGTACCACTTTGTCCCGGACCATGGCAAGAAAACTATACCCCAATTTTATATTTGGCATTAACTTTGTAGAAATAAACAATAGATATGCAAATGTTTGTGGTTTACCTATGGCTTAGTCGAATATCTAGCCCTTTGGCCAAGGTATTGATGACAGGACGATACCCTCTAACCATAAGACCATGTTCACCAGGAAGAAGCTCCTCCTACACATGTTTGGTGATGTTTCAAGAAACAGTGTGTACTTTTAACTCCAAGAGGAAGAGAATTTAACAAACCTGGTCCCAACACTGTACAGAGATGGTATCAGCATCGGCAGCAAACCATCCTTCCATGCGGCACAAGTACCATTGAAGCACATTGTGTGCAAGCCCCTCCAACCTCAACTCGGGTTTCCTTGAAAGCACAATTGAGAAAGCCTGAGATATTGACATGTCTGCATCCTCCTCATCCCTGACTTTTCTGATCTGCAGTTTCAAAATAAAAAATCTAGTTAGGACTAACACAGGAATCAGAATATGAAAGAATGAAAAGACACATACCTGTTCCAAAATCTGCTCAAATGTTTTTCCAACCTCTCTTACTAACTCTTGAGGAACTTGATTCCCATCCTTATCAAACAGAGCATAGCTGCAGAAACGAAAATAAACCACAACGTGACTTTTAAATAAGAGTAGTGTGGATCAAGATTACAAAAAAAATGCAAACAGACCTCTCAAGATCATGATCATACAAGACCGAGTTGTCACCACTGCAGGTACGATACAAAGGCAGTCCTAGTCTCCCAATTACTGGTGCCAGAGGATTCTCTTTGCACACTCCGTGCAGCCTATTTATGCTGCAGAGTTAGCAAAGGTAACCAAGAACTAAGCGGAAAGATAAAAACATCATGTGAGATTTTACCATGATGCACCAAGATCAACAGGAAAACCGAATGAGTAATCAGTGTGGACTCGTCCACCAATCCTGTCACGTGATTCCAGTACCGTAACCTAAAAGGCAAAGAAACCACACAACCATTCATTAAATTTCACAAACATGAAACTGCATTGGGTTTTGTAGTAAACAAACAAACCTGAAAGGAAGCATCTTGAAGAGTGCGAGCAGCTGAGATTCCAGCAAAACCACTTCCGACAACTATCACAGACGGTGACCTTGTCTTCATCCTCTCACCACCTGAAAAAAAACAAAAACAAAAAAACTTAATTTTTATTACAAAACATCGGTTACAACCAACAATGAAACAGAGTAATCGGTTTAAAAAATAGAATACCTCTACGTATTTGACGATCAGAGTTTTTTCTCGACTCCATGATTTTTTTTTTCAATTTTTGATCAAACGATTAAGCTCAAGATTATTAGAATTACGATTAATATTATTATTACTACTACTACGCTGGGGAGAAAAATGAAGGATGAAGATGAGAAGACAAGTAGTGAAGTGGCTCGAAATCGAAGATGAACAAATTAGCCTCCCAAACAACTTCATGCGGCTTCTCTTGTAATGATCAACGATGATCAGATGCACAATTCAAGCGAAATAATGAAGACTAGAGTCAGAGAGACAGAGCTAGAAAAACAGAGAATTGAACGACAGAACAGATACTTCTAGAGAGAGAGACAAGAGTCCTAGGTTTTCTCGCCTTCGATTCCTGAAGTCGGGTAGGTTACGTGCTTTATATACTGTATTAATAGTACACTTTGGTTTTATTTAAGAGTTTATTTAATTTTGTAGCAACAAAATTTTAATATTTATCGATATGTATATATTAATTAATCATTTTGATGATTTTTTGCTACTAAATCCCTCATATATTAAAAAAGTATTATCATTTAATGTGTTCACATTTCATTTCACACATGGCAGTTTCATATCAATTAAAGAATGAATACGCTAACTTCTCACATAAGAATTTTTCCGCCGAACTCAACATAAATGTGTTCATATTATATAGTATTTTATGTTTTTTTCAATATAAAACTTACATACACGGTTCTACGGATTATACAAAATTTCTACACATAAATACAATTTACAAAAAATCACTATTGTCTAGGCTTATTTTATTTTTACTTAATTTATTTTAGTAGAATATTATATTTCATGTGTTATTTTGAACAAATTTTTTTTAATGTTAAATATAATATCTTTATATATTTATCGACCACCTTTATATACTTTTGACATAAATATACATGAAAGAGTGGACACGAATAAGATATCTGAAGTTTTGGAGGTATTTGTGATCTAATATGTTTCGTTCCAATAATAAATTATCCAATTCGATTCGTAGCCATCCAGATATACGATGTCACGAAAAATTATATTTTAACTGATTCGATCCGCAAACAAATAAAAAATTAAAAATAAATAAAAATATTAAATAATAAAATTTGTTACAAAAAAAAATTATTTACTTTTTTTGAATACTAATACTTAAATTAATAAATTTTTTAAATAAAAATATTGTAAAATTTATATAGAATATATTATTTATAAAATTTATATATACTTCTCAAATATATGTATATATATAAGCATATAACAGATCAAATTGAATATCTATTTTAAAAATCTTAGTATTTGTCATTTGTTTCGATTTTATAGATATTGCATATTAGTATTTGTTTTTTTTCCTTGAGTTATGGATAACTAAATTTTTTGTTAGAATCCAAAAAGATGATGAATCTAATCAAAATTTACAGATATTTTGCTTATCCTTACATATATGTGCACATTGATGTGAATTCATATATAACTAAATATTAACAACAAGTGTGGATTCTAATTCTCTTAGAAGCTAAAATAGTCTTTTTAATGTTTACATTCACCATCGACCAAATTCTAATAAAATGATTAGTCATAATAATTTATTTTTCTTTTTCTCCAGCTATTATTTAGATTTGATTTGATTTTTCATGTCTTTAGAAATTATAATATGAAACCATTAGTTTGACATCAGAACTGTCTAAAATTCACATAATATGAAACCAAACAAATAATAATAGTTTTTGGTTATCATTGAAAAATCTAAAAATCTCGAGCATTTTAACCGAATAAAGAAAACAAATTTTGATTAAGAATAGTAATTATATTTTCATAGATTCAAAATAAAAAACTAACCTAAAACTGAACCGATATCCAAATTAAACATATATAATATTTTCTCTTAAAAATAATTAAATTAATAATCTTTTTCTGCAAGGCGCATATTATTATCTAGTTTTACTGATTTTTTTCCAAACAAAAACCTTACTGGTATCTATTAAAAAGGTAATATATATATATATTATATATCTATATCTATATATATATATTAGATTTCTTGGAACCTATACAATATATATATATTCTATTTATTGCAAACTTAATTTAGAAATATAATCTAATGTTTTGAAATTTGAACCATTTAATTGCTTACTATAATTAGTCATCATGAATATTATTGTATTAAATAATAATATATCATTGCCATTATAGATTATATGCTATAGTTTGAGATACACATGAACATTTGAATGTTCAATCGGACTTGGTTAAGATTTATTTAGATTCTGATTTTACGAGGGTATGAAATTTGATCCCATCATAATATTTTTAAAGTCCGGTTTGGATTCGATTTAGATTTTTTGGGGTTTGATTTGGTTATAGTATCACAACGTAAACCTAGTTGAACATGTTTTAATTTTAGGTTAAGTTCTATGTCGAGTTTTAGTTACCTATATACTTGTTTGTATTTCTCTTTCTTCATTTTTTGTCATCAACATAAATAAATTTATATTGACTCACTAAACTAGATCAGTAATTCTTCTTCCATATGAACGATAAAAAAAATTATTGTTTTCTGGTACTGTATATTATACTATCTGCTCGTAAATTCTGTGTTTTTAGTGCATAAATGATCTCATATTTTCGTATCTAATTTATTTGTCTATCCCTAGTTTTAGAATATTTAATAAAAGTACTAAAGTATTTTATTACTAATTTAAATTGCTTCATAGAAATAGTAATAGTATGAACAACAATAGATACATTTTTATCTAGCTTTTCATGAAGAGAGAACATCAATATTTGCGTTACACCGTTCAACCTGCATGGTTGGACTGTTAGTTGAGCTGGGAGAGTGTATGGTTTTATAACTTTAATTGTGATGTTTGCTTGGACAATGGCGTGTTGTTTAATGTTAGTTGTCACCACAATATCTAGTGTTTACAAATAGTTTGGTCATGACTGATACCAACAAACAAGTTCATTTGAAAACTGGGATATAAGTCAATAATGAACCAAAGAACAAGGAATTTTCTAAGGTATTTTACTCAATTATTGGTAAAATGGATTTTGTCCAGTAGAGCACATGACTAACAACTTAAATTGTCGATGTGTGACAAATGACAGATGACTTTCACTGAAATCTGCTCCTTCACATGTAGCTTGCTTACCTTTTAATTTCATCTCTATATTTATATGTAATTAAACAATCGGCAAAGCAACAATATGACATCATAAAGACCAATATAATGTATCAGACTCCGACCAGATCTCTATCTACATGTACTTCTTCGAGCTAGATAATGTTTTGTATTCAACTCATGTTTCAATATATATGTTTCAAAGTGAATAAAAATAAAGATAATTTTTTGTGTTAGTGGAACAGAGAACAAAATTAATGGAAAATAACATGGGTTTTCTAGCTCTTTTTTTTTATCAAGAAAACAGTTCATTTAAAATATATATATTTAGAGCTACTTAGCTAGACAAATGCATATTTTTTTGAGAAATATGAACCACATAACAAACATGTATTTTACATTTTATGGGTCTAGACGATTACAAAAAGCTCATGTCATTTTGACATTAAGGTTAACATACATAAACTCGCATATACACAGATTAACGTTTAAACTATGTTCAGAAGATTATATAAATAACGAAGAATGACCCAACAAACCACAAAAGAAAGAAAAAAATGCCACAGCCGCTTAGTGGCTAAAGACTAAAGAGGACCGTCGGTGGTCTTAGCTGGCGCAGACGTACGTTGACTTTCCTGTCCCGCCGGATAACCAAACCTCAACATCTCCATCGGCTGCGTTTATCATCAAACCACGTCGTTTTATATGTTTCACTAGCTCTTGTATATATATCTACTGAACTACTAACTTATGAGCCTTACCTGAGAGGCAGCCTGCATCTGTGGGAATTGGCTAACGTATCTATCAAACCGATCAGACAAAACTTGGTTTTGTACCGGGTTTTGACAAACTAAACCGGGATTGTTTTGAATCACAGACCGGTCCATAACAGGAAATCTAGGCAACAGTACCGGGCTCTGCACCTGACGGATGAAATGTGGAGGAGGCTGTACCCCAGGGAACATAATAGGAGCCGCTGCAGCAGCCATTCCACTCCCCATCCACATAACTTGAACTTGTAACTGAAGTGACTTCAAATAATCTATGGCTTCTTCCAAAATTGAAGCTTTATCAGTCTACAAGAGAAAAACAAAACCTGAGTGACACCAAGTTCTTTTTTTAACTTAATCCATAATCACTCAGTCCCCATTTTATATAACTTACTTTAGTGCAGTGAGGTATTAGTTCTTGCAAAGCCTTCATCCTCTCATTGATCCTATCTCTCCTCCTCTAATATAATTAACAAAATAAATAGAGTTTAGTATCTGTTATCTTTGTCTGGATACATTATAAAATAGATGTTTTAGTTCATAATAAATAATAAACGTAAAAAATAACTACAGTTTATTGAGTTGTTATTGATGTAGTAAAATCAATGAAAATTTGTCATAGCAAAAATAAAAATAAAATGCATTTATGATGAAAAGAAATACATTGACGAACTGAAAGAAATTACCCTTTCAGAAAGATTATGAACTTCAGCTGCTCGACTTCTTCGGGTTGATCCTGATCGTTGGTTCGATTTGTTACCAATAGCCTGTAAACGTTTCAAGAACCAAGAAAACGTTTTAAGAACTTATTATTATCATGAGTTAAAGAAACTAAACCATACATCTGCTGAGACACAGATTCATCAGTGTCCATTATATGTTTTCTCTTATGATCTGTTGTGATGCTTCTTCCAAAAGTCATTTCTTTGTTGCTCTTGCCAAAGCTGCAACCAGAGGAGCCACCTGATGATGAACTTGCGTTCCGGTAGAGCCTCTCATCGATTGTTTTACTTTGATCATGAGTCAGTGAGACATCGTGATCGGTTTGAGATTGGTTGCTCCCGCAGTGGCTCGGTCCAACAGTCACCACAGAGTACTGCTCCTTTCCTAGTTCTCTGACTCCTGATGATGAATCCGTTAACCTAAACTTAGGAGGAGGCATGATCTGATCAGGAGGGTTAGGACCGGCCTCGTGTTTGATCGTGTCTGGAGCCGGTCTCTGGAGGGGATCTATAGTTGAGAAGAAATGAGAGGAGAAGTCTTCGGATTCAAATGGATCTTCATCTGGAGGGTATTGGATCCAAGAGACGGTTTCTTGATCGTCAAGAAAGGTGTTGGATCTTAGGGTTTCTTGTTGATGATCCTGTTTCTGAGTTTGAGCTTGAGTTTGGCTCTGCTGAACCACTTGCCCATCTCGCCATAACAACTCTACTAGTTCATCTTGTGGCCTACACATATACACACTCAAAGACTATAATATAGTCCCTTTTAATTAATGAATAAATTAGATTAAACATTATAATACCTTATAAATCTTCTATTATTGGACAGATTGTAATTATCCTCAAAACTCCAACCTTGGTGCTCCATGTCAGATCTCTGGAGACATATCAACATAATTTATTTATCAACCTCCAATGTTATAAGTGAACAGAGCTAATCATAACTTATGATTAATAAGAGATACAGAGGAGCATAAAGTATAATTTTATAATCACAACTCCAATAATTCTGTTACACTAATCATATAAAAAGACTTATAAATAATTAATCATTTTTTAATATATTCTAAATATAGCAACATATCTTAAAACCAAAAGACCGTATAAGAATAGTACTGACCAGATTAGGAAAGCTTCTGGGCGAATCAGAAGTTGAAGAAGATCGAAACCTGAACCTTCTCTTTCCTCTCACTTAGCTTTACATAAACACAAAGACCAGAAGCTTCTTATAAAACATGAAAGAAACATAGAAGAAGGAGAGAGAGATGGTAAGTTTCTTTACTTCTTTTGGTACAGACAGAAAGTGACAGGAGCATAAAGAGGAGAGATATCACAGCGAGGGAGATAATGATTCTGTAAGCACAACAGTACAGCAACCTTTCAGACCGAACGCCACGTGGCGAGTTCTGGGACATTATGTTGGGAATGAATAGGACCCACCGGTGGAGATCTTCTTCTTTAGGCGATGAGATCTATTGCTTGATTTCTAGAGGTGGTTTCTGATCTGTACCTTATCTAAAAAAAACTCTGCAAACAATGATTTGAGGGCGTTTTTGTCAAATCACAACTCGTAGATGTGGCTTCTTTCTTCTGAAAATGATATATTCTTCACTATCTGCCAAATTAAATTACGTTTTTTTTGGTAGCTTGGATGTAAATTAAGGTCGAATTATTATCTAAGTTCAATGGTTTTATTGAATTTGATGCAGACAAGTCTGTTGCTCTAAAGAAAAAGAGATGCAGACAAGTCTCAACGAATATATACATATATTTTTATCATAGTAGTTTTCGACGTTTATCAAATTGAATTTAAAGGAACTCTTGGATAACATCTTATATCTTATTATCATTTATAGGAACCTTACTATTTCGAAAATTTCACATTGTAATTTCGAAAAAGATAGTGCTTCTTTATTGATTCTTACATATATCGTTTTGCAATTCACTGCGTTGTATTAATAATAATAATTCTTGGACCGTCTTGCCTACCGGTAATGGACCACATCCCACACCGCTTCTAGGATTCTATTTCTAACATCATCACATTGAATTATACTCCTTGTTTTTTGTGTAATGTATAGTATAATTTTCTCTTTCTTGCACCATGAAGATATACAATCTTAATCAACATGATTTCAAAAACCTTATATTTGATATGAATTTGAAGATTTTCTATATTCAAACCGTGACAACCAAACAAACGGTATGAAATACACGGAACAGATATAACAAATATTGAATGCTGGTAAGTGGTCTCCTCCGTCCATGGGTGTCACAAAGCGTGTAACAGTGATGGAGCATGCATGGAAGCAGAATGCACGTGTAAGTGGATTAGGCTGGGTTTATGATAAACTCCTAGGAGGGCTTGTGATAATATTGTTTGGAAAAATGCGAGTAACCAAACTAACACGCAGAAAAATTAATTATGAAAAAACCATTTCCTTACAATTGGTTTGAATTATTTGTATCGAGCAACCGGAGTGGGGTACGTCTGCACATGCTCATTTCAAATGCATCTACCCCAAAGTTAAATAATATATTCACACGAATGTATCTTTTAGTATACAATTTATTTAAAATAAAGAGCTTAATTATACAGTATTTTGCGATGGTAAGAGACATATAGCACAGTAACGAAAAAAACAAAAACAAAAAAGAGACATATAGCACATGCTGTGTCTCTCTACTTTTGGCAACTTGTGTTCACTGTGCAGTCTTTTTATAAATGATGAATCTATCTACTAAAATATGTTTAAATCTAATTAGTTGTGATCAGATGATAATTAACTAATTAGCGAAAATTAGGGATGCATGCTAGCTAGCTTATCAGTTATCAATATGAAACAGGATTTGTAACCTAATGATCATAAAACCCAGTCCACAAGCTCACCAAAAGCTCGGAGATCGGTAAATCAAGGCCGGAAAAGTGATCATATAGAAAGAAGCCACCTTCTAGAATCCTAGATTTGTGATGATGGATTGATAATGATCGATGATCGAGAGAGCAAGAGATAAGAGAAGAAGATAACTGTTCTCCTGATTGATTTCTCAAATGGTTGAGGGATCTACATACGTAGTTTGCATAATTAAACCAAGCTTACATAACCAAAATACTAATCTGTAAATTAGATAAACTAGATAACCGGACTACTAATCCACTAATCCTATGACACAATATTCTTTCCTCTTTTTTTTTTTGCTAAAACACGCAATATTCTTTTGTCATCAATATTTAAGACAGGCTGATAACTGTTTGGTTTTAGTCAGATTAGCTGATATTAATTAGCCTTCTAAAGTTTTGGTCAGTCATCCTAATCATACTCTCTTCCATATAGGAAACTCCTCTTGAAGTTACAACAATGATTTCAACTTAAATAGTAACAAAAAGACATGGGCGTTAGCAGTAATGGGCATGTACGTAAAGCCCAAATAAACCCAATCTTAATCTCACGAAAAGGCCCAGTTCTTCAAGGGAGGGAGACAGAGAAACAAACGCGACCCGTAAACAGTAGGCAGTGTGAAACCCCAAGGCAGTGGCGGCTGTCTGCATGGCTGCAGAGATTCGACGGTTATAATTTCCGTTGCACCGATCTAGTTCAGCTTAGCACATACCAATAGGCAACGTTTCTTACGTTAGCTGCCGTACGTCTTCAAGTTTGATTGTTGTTTATTTTATTCTTTGTACCAGTATGAACATACCCTTTATAGAAACTTGATACTGATCGATTCATTCAATGTGTCTCCTTATTTTCATGTCGCAGAAATTCAAAAACGTTAAGAATTGAGAATTTGGATATTATGTTCCTTTGACTATTTTTCTCATTTGAATAGTTTCAGATTTAATGTTTGTTTATCTTCCCGAGATTTGATTAGTACTAATTAATATTTGTTTGTAGGCAACTTGTATTACTAGTTTCTTTATTGATGTTCAATGATAATATTCAACAGTCAAAAAAACTGAACTTTGAATGTTATATTGGATCAAGTTGTTCACTTTCCCATTTCGCACAAGAGCTAAGTTATTGACTGAACACTTTGATATTCTATGTCTCCATGCTGTCAATTTACATTTCACCTGAGGATTTCAACCTCTTATGTCTGTTTTGTTTTGTGTTTTATTGCTCTTTCTTTTTATTAAGCTTCTTCTTTGTGTCTTATACTTTTCGTTCATATACTTAAACGAATGAAACAATCTGTTAAACACAACAATACAATACAATACCAACCAATCCGTACTTAGTAATCGTATTTCCATAGATTTGGAATGCAATTGAAGCTTTTTTTTTTTGCTAAAGGAATTCAACTGAAGTTGATGATAGGAGAATGGTTGTTATTTGATAGATTTGGTCTACGATCGACGTTTGTGTTTGCCTCCCCAGCTATCAAAACAGTTGAGTCCACAGAGGAGGATATTTAAAATTATATTTTCGTTTGTACGCAATTCTAGTTTTATTACTCTCTCTGTTTAAAAAAAAACGTGTGTTTTAGAATTTTATACATATTAAAAAATGAAATTTCGATTACAATATATTATTTTTATAATTAATTATTTCCATAATTTTTAATCAATAAAATTGCAGTAATCACAATCATGTTTTTTTTGAAGTGAACAATCATTAATTAATAAACTGAAAATATTTTTAAAAAATTGAAACAATTTTTTGACTTTTTAAACTGAGGGAGTATATTTTACATCTTTTCAACATGTTGGCAACTTATAATACGGTCAAACCACGTGAATTCACCTAGGCAATCATGTTTCAAAACTTACATTTTATTGATAATTATATACAATTACTCTATATATAATTTTTCATATATGCGTAGCAACTACGGATAACGACATGTTTGAATTTCGATAATATTACATCATACATGTATCTTCTTTGTCTCGTAATATTACATCATATGTAAATTAGTTGCAATCAACGATCTAATGTCTTTCTATCTCCATGGACTTTTCTGTATACTAATACTAATAATTAATAGGACACCGATATCTAAGCTAAACTATAGAACTATTTCTTTTTTTTTTATATTATTTTTAAGTATCTAAAATCTTGTATGTTCTTAAGAGATATCTTTTAGTACAACAAAAAGGTTTATTTCTACAAATATTATAAAAATCACAAATTACCTATAAATATAGGCTAAGATTTTTAAATGTCTTTAGCAAAGTGAGGTTTTAACCATTTTCTAGATTACATATGTGATATATATCTATACTATTAAAACAGAAGTCATGACTCAATTTCATGTGTGATTTTTTTAAAATGGACTATTACTAGAAAGTCATGTTACATTAACTCTCTAATAATCTTATCATTATTATATCTTATGGAAAATCATATCTATGATAACAAATACGCTTAACAATTTTGTTTTGGTAAATTATCCCACACTTTTCAACTTATTCACGCAAAATATTTCAATAAATATAAGTTTAGGAATCTTCTATTATTTATAAGGAAATATGTCAATAATAGTTAAATGCATCCACAATATATTAACAAAAATTACATATCCGTAATATAGAATATTAATATACCCTAATAAAATTTACACGCTATATATACTAGATAAATTTATTTCGATGTAAATTTTTAAAATTATATTGTTTAAAAAAAAAGAAATTGTTTAAAAAATTCTTTTTTAATAAAATTCTTTATAATATTAATTTATGAAGCTGTAAGTTTAGTTTTTAGCAAAAATTTCTTCGAAGTTTATATTATCTTTGCAAATTATAATATACTAATATTTAATCAAGTTCTATTTACATTAATTTATCTAAAAATGAAATACTAATTTAACAAACAATAAAACATATAAGAAGAAACAAACACATGTTTGAAAAACATGTATAATATAGAAAATTTAAAAAAATCTATTTGATTTAAACACATATTATATAATATTATTATGTTTGAAAAACATTTACTATGCATATCGTAAATATGTGATTACTATAATATATATCAATTTACAAGTGAAAACAAAATGTTTATATAACTAACTATAAACGAAAGTAAACACCCGCACGGTTGCGCGGGTCAAAATCTAGTAATATATTAAATTAATATCGGATTTTTTTATGATAGAGTTTACTATTGCGTGTATTATAATAGTCAAAGTCATTTGTAACTTACCCAGCACCAATTGAACGGCGTAAAAATAGTCATTAGTTTGATGTTTGATTGCCTATATATATATATATATATGTATAGATAACTTTTTATTCAGGGAGACTTGATTGCTGATATAAAGAGATCAATGTAGCGAAGATGAGTGGTGAAGGTAAGGATCATGAAGAAGAAGATGAAGCACTTCCTGGATTTAGATTTCATCCAACGGACGAAGAGCTTTTAGGTTATTATCTTCGAAGAAAAGTAGAGAACAAACCCATCAAACTCGAGCTTATTAAACAGGTCGATATCTACAAGTTCGATCCTTGGGATCTCTCTCGTAAGTCTTTACATATATCGGCTCATTTTCATTTTCTTTGCTCATTTCTTTCTCAAATCATAGGATAGTGATTAGGGATGTCCAATTAACCAGAAGGATCAAAACTATAGTTAACGTGCCAAAAATCTAGAATTAGTGTTTGTTTTTCTTTTGCAAGAGTTAACTAATGTGTTGATTTCTTTTTTCTTTAGTATTCCCTATGTTTTTCTTAGATGGATATTTAAGATTATGCACACGAACTAAAAAAAGATAATATTCTTTCTTTGCTAAAAAGATAATTATTTTAGTATTTTAAATGAAAAATATTAATTATTCCTGTAATCACAATTAAACCAATAACAAAAATAACACATTAAATACAAAAAAATCATATAACAAAGGAAAGATTAAATAAAAATTATAGTAAAATTATAAACATCATTAAATAGAATAAAATTATCCTCTAAGACTTCGATTAAAAAGGGAGGAGTTACACTACGTAAACAAATTTTCTTGAAGAGACAAATGAATATGAACATTTGACTGTGGATTTTATTAAGGAGTGAGCAGCGTCTGGGAAAAGGAATGGTACTTCTTCTGCATGAGAGGCAGGAAATACAAGAATAGCGTTAGACCAAACCGAGTCACCGGCTCAGGTTTCTGGAAAGCCACCGGTATTGACAAACCGGTTTTCTCCAATCTTGAATGCGTTGGTTTAAAGAAATCTCTGGTTTACTATCTTGGCTCCGCCGGCAAAGGCTCCAAAACCGATTGGATGATGCATGAATTCCGCCTCCCTTCCACCACAAAAACCGACTCAACGGCTCAACAAGCAGTGAGTTTTCTTTGAATAATATTATATGCTTTTGGTTACAAATCAAAATTATTTTATGAATAATCAAGCCGGTTTATTTTACCAAGAAAAGTATTGCATCAGGCTTAACCATCTTATCTACTTTTAGTTGAGATAATTTTCTTATATTCGTGGTGTTAAATGCTTCTAAAGAGCACTTCCATTAATGAATTTAGGGGGAAGGGAGGGGAGGAGAGGTAAAAAAAATTTTTTTTTGTTTGATTTATTAAATAATTAATAAACCAACCAATTGTGAGCTGTCACATATTCTGAAGTTTAACCCGTATTACTGCAGTGAACAGTGTAAACTTGTTTAATTATTATAATATATTTTTTTTTGGAATTGTGAACTTCGTAATAATCCCTCATGGGAATGCTAAAAGTCAGTCACAAAGGCACATTTCCATATGAGCTATTTATTGATCACATTTTTTGTCCTGAAAATGGGACCAACTTATTGTCAAAAGATAAAACTAGACCGGGCTCAAGATATCTATTTTATTAAAATAGAGTCATTTTTTTTATCTACTGATATAAGTTGTCATTTAAATTTGGATATTTTGTAGAATGTTACAAATAATATAAGTCATATAATTGATTGAACCGTACTACTTAAATTAAACCAACATAATTAATGTAAAAAGATGACTTTAATGTAAACTACCTTCAAAATACGGCATATATCTATGTGTATACCGAAAACACATATTTCTCCTACAAATATGGCATGTTTAAAAAGAATATATATCATCAAAATATGGAATATGAAAATCTACTAATTATACTTAAATTAAACCAGTGGTTATTTATGGAATATAGTTTTGGGCTTAATTTTATTTTTTGAACAAATTATATAGTTTGGTTTTTGGGCTTAATATTAAGAAAAAACTCCAAAAATAAACTTTTCACCTTAAAAGATCAAAAAATCAATTATTATTTCCAGAGCCAAAAGATATTTAATATTTTTAACAAAACAAAATTATCTATTAGTTAATATATATTTTTATTTTAAATAACAATCACTTTGTTTTGATAAATTTCAATTGTAACTTTTAAATAATTTATTGTTTTATTTTTCTTAAATAATTTACTGATTAAAAAAATGTAAAGCAAAACCAAAAACCAAATCTAAAAACTAAAATCCAAAACCAAAAACTGAAAACACATATTATATATTTTTGCTTTGTTTATTTACAATATAAACTATTTCAAATTTTTTTTGAATTTGTTTTCATCTTTTCAGTTTTAAATTAGATGTTCGATTATTTCAGATTTGTTTGTTGGTAATATCAGTTCAAACTAACTCAGCGGGTTTAAAAATTAAAAACCCAAACCAAAAACTGAAATTGAAAAGTAGAAACTTAAAAACTAAAAACCAAAATCTAAAAATAAAAAGTCAAACTAAAAACTAATGAAAAACAATCATCACCACAAATTTGGTGAACTGATTTTATATCAAAATATTCTTTAAATTAAAACAAAACCTAATTATATAAATTTTTAATCATAAAAAATTTCCGCGCTTTTAAGCGCGTGTCAAAATCTAGTTTTTTTAAAAAAAATATATATATACTACTACTTTTATAATAAAATCATGTTGTAAAGGTACAATAAAATCATGAGAAGAAAGCTCAGACTATTCCAAAACACGTGAAAAATGTCCACAATAGACTAATTTTCATCCATTATAATTTGATTTTTCGCAGGAGGTCTGGACACTATGTAGAATCTTCAAACGAGTCACACATCACAGAAACCCAAACATCATACAACCAAACCGTAAACCGGTTATCACCTTAACCGATTCATGTTCTAAGACGAGCAGCTTAGACTCCGATCACACCAGTCACCGAGTAGTAGATTCCTTGTCCCACAAGCTACACGAGCCGCAGCTTCAGCCACAGACGCAGAATCCTTACTGGAACCAACTTACTACGGTTGGTTTCAATCAACCAACGTATACTTGTCATGATAACAACTTCCTGAGTTTCTTGAACACCAACGGTGGAGATTTTATTGAAGACTCAGCAAGTTGGGATGAACTTAGGTCTGTTGTAGATGGTAACACTAAACACTAATAATAATTTTGTTTGGGAGCTAAAACAAATAGTTGTTCTTTTTTCATTGTTACCTTTTAGTTCTATTAAAAAAATTGTTTGGTTTGTAAGATATTACTAGTAATATACGACTCACCATGCATATTTATGATCCTTAGTCTCCTTAGAATTATACATTTATGATCATAGAGTTTGCATTGATTGGATCATAATTAAGGCGATGGATATGCGTTAGACTTTGGAGTCAATGACCAACACTTGTTTTGCAATTTTATTTGTTTATAACAGACTTGTTTTCAGGTCATGTTTCCTCTAGTTCGTTTTTGCATTTGGCAGTGCTATTGGGCAAGAAAAGTTGTAAACCCAAGTGGTAAATGACAAGTCATGTCGTAGTATATTTATTTGATAGTGGTTGATAAACTGCAAAACTCTAGACCTAATTAAGGATACAATAACCTATCTAGGAGAAATACCCACTATAATTTCTCTTCAGGGCTCCAATATACATTTAGATTTCTGAGATGGGGATTAGGATCAACGAAGGAGATACTTGAGATGGTTAAAGAAGTAATTAGACACAATCTCATTAGTTCTCTGGGTCGGGTGAAAAGCATCCCAGAAAACAAACTTATTTGGATCCGTCCTGGCAGCAAATAAATTCCATCTTTAACAATCCCTCGCCACAACATGCAGAACTAAATTCCTCTAGACCGTAAATGATGGTTTGGTAACAATCAGGAAATTTATGGAACTTGAAACAATTACTAAATATATATATTTTTAATCATTTGGGAGCTTAATGATTCATACATATTAACACTAATATTTAAGGTTTTATAGACAAATGTTTCATCTTGTGACAGCCAATGGTGACAATATCCCAAATGGTATCATAAGGATTATTTTATGAACAACTAATATTATACCAAGAGGCAAATCTATATGGTAAGTGGGTGGGGCAGTTGCCCACCATAATTTTTTGTAGTGTAATTTTGTACAAACATGGAGCATTACTTACACTATACATTTAGAACTTTTCGGAGTCGATTCCCCTGAACTGTATAATGTGTGGTTTAGGCCAGTGGCGGTTTCTAAGCAAGGGAATTTTTACTTATGTGACAATGAGAAGAGGCTGTTCAAGTATTACTCAGAGACAAACACACTCTCTTGCATCTCTTCAGAGAGCCAAAAAGTTCAGATGGATCAAGTTGCGGATCCCAAGTATCTTGCTGCAGACCACTACTATTGTGTCTGTTCAATGTTTTGCTGTTAGGTCTTAGTCTTGATGTTAGTATTATGTAATTAAAACATTATTACTAATCTATCTCTCTGTTAAAGAAGATACTTGTCATGAATCATCATCTGTTGAGAAGTAGGTTGCCATAAAGTTTATTTTGTTGGCAAATTAATTTGTTAATTATTAATCACAATTTTGATGACTACTTAACCATCTCCTACTCTTCACAATCATTCTTTTGGTGTCTCTACCATATAATAATCCACCATAATCTCCTTACTTGAACCTATAAACTCCTCACACAATCTCAGTTGAAATCTAACATTTTGACAACAATGGCTGGAGGTACAGCTCTAACTTCAACCTCTGTAGGATCTAAGTCACTACTTCCATCGAGGAACCATGAAGCAGCAGAGAGAGTCAATAACAACAACAACAACAACAATAACCTGAAGGCATTGCCAGTTTCATCAATCCAAGGAGAGATGGCTAAGAGGCCAAGAGGTAGACCAGCTGGCTCCAAGAACAAACCCAAACCACCAATCATTGTGACTCACGACAGTCCAAACTCCCTCAAAGCTCATGCCATTGAGATCAGCTCAGGTAATGACATCTGTGAGGCTTTATCAGATTTCTCAAGAAGGAAACAGAGAGGTCTCTGCATACTCAGTGCCAATGGTTGTGTCACCAATGTGACATTAAGGCAGCCAGCTTCATCAGGAGCTATTGTGACATTACATGGACGTTTCGAGATCCTTTCATTGCTAGGATCAATCTTGCCTCCACCAGCACCAGCTGGGATCACTGGTTTGACCATTTACTTAGCTGGTCATCAAGGACAGGTTGTTGGTGGAGGAGTGGTTGGTGGGCTAATAGCATCTGGTCCGGTTGTTCTCATGGCTGGATCTTTCATGAATGCTGTTTTTGATCGTCTTCCTCTGGATGATGATGAAGAAGCTGCTTCTATGCAGAACCAGCAGTACTACCAGAATGGAAGATCTCGTCCTTTAGATGGCATTCATGGATTGCCTCAAAACCTGCTCACTAATGGAAACTCAGGTTCTGATGTGTACTCTTGGGGACCTGCGCAGCGTGTCATGTCCAAACCTTGATATTGTTAATGAAGTTAGGGGAGAACCATAAGTTAACTGAAACTAATCTTCCTCTGTAGTTTGTACCTGCAACATTACAAAGAAGAAACTTAAACAAAGAAAAGTAATTGTTAATGAAAACAGAATTCTCTAGTTTAATACACAAATATTACAGTAATTTTATCTTTATTTTTGAGCCCAAGTGAATGTTCTCTACTAATAAGAGATACCAGAACAAAATGACTACTATTTCTCTCTCATACTCACTCTCAGCAGTGGAGAGGGTTTAATTTTTTTTTATGAACTTAACAATTCATTTTGTTGCAAAATAAAGATCAATAAAAAATAACTCAAGACCAGCGTACAAGGTTCAGCAATCTGTCTCAGCAAAAGTAATATGATTATTTTAATAAATTGATCATCTAGATAACTTCTCTTAAGAGTACAACAACACCAAGGCGAAAGCACCAAGTCCAGCAAGGACTAGACTCAATCTCTATTTGCTTCAAATTTGTAGAGCATCAGCAATGGATCCGGCAAGGCTCAAGACTTCGAAAGGTGCCTTGTTTCCTATGGACTTAACCGTCTGTGGACAAGAATCCGTGATCCAGAAGTATGCAAACGCTTCCTCTGATCCTAAAATGAAGACAAAGCAAAAACAATGTAGACTTCACTTTAAGGAATAAGAAGATATATTATGAATAATTGACGAAGTAGTCAGTTACAGGTACTTACCGTTGTTCTTGTGAGTAAAACGCTCCCAGGAGCTCTTCGGGAAGACACCATGAGTTACATAAGCACTCACCTTCGCGGCTCCATGTGCTGCCAATACTTTCTGTTTGGTAAAAAAAGTGACAATTCAGGAAGAAAAGGTTTAAATGAGTTTGACTTCAAACCTCTCCCGACTTTTAAAGCTCACACTTTAGATGCAAAATGCAGGGAGATTGTTAGTTCACGACGCTACCTGGCATTCAATGAGTGTACCCCCAGATTGCACAAGATCATCAACGATGACAACGTGGCAACCAGCGGGGTTCCCTTCCTTCAGCCTGACTATTCTCTTATCTCCTTCACGAACCTTTGTGCACACCACCTGTATATTAATGATTCAACATCGAGTTTCATTAACATATTGTGATGCATGCTCATAAAAGTTGAAGGTTGATAAAACAGCAGTTTACAAACCGTGGGGTACTGATCCAACAGCTTGTGGAAACGCTTCCAAGCTCCATCATCCGGAAACGCAACAATGATCTGCAAACGAAAAGGAACCAAATCATTTCAACTATAACTTTCTAATTTACAAGCATTTATCATTTCAGATGTCAACTAACCTTCTCAGTTTCAGGAAGCTGCTGAAGACGTTTCGTCAACAAGGGGATACCAGTCTCAAACAAAGGAAGAACCTGATCAGCAAAGTAGAACCTCTCCTGCAAACACAAGAACAGATACAGATAGCAATGATTATAAGCACCAACACTTACAAGAAACTATATCTTAGAAATTAGCTAAACATTACCTGTAAAGCGTGAATGTCATAGATAACTACACTAGTCGGACCACCACGTGAAATTGGGATGTTAGAAACAATCCTAGCCATGGTGAAAGCAGTAGCTACATCTCCTTCCTCTTCCATCCTCTCAAATGAGCCAGTAGGGAAGAAAGGCAACACCAAGGTAAAGGAAGCAACAAACAAGCGAGGGAGCAAGTAAATGACAGAGATCTGCTCAAAGATAACCGCAGGAGAGCTGAATGAAGCAAGAAAAGCAACGTGCTGTCCTCTGATCTCATGTGCGTTGTTAATAAACAAATTGGGAAATCCATCAGCAAAGCTCCTGAAAACCAAAACATAAACCAAATGAACAAACCAAATACTATTAACAGTAAGAAAGAGCCAAAGGTGAGGGATTTCAATACATAAGACTAAAAATTAAACAGCAACACAAACAGAACTCAGATTCAAGAACAGAGTGAATCCAAATGTCACAATAAAGTCATGATTTTTACTTAACCCATGAACTTTATTGAAAGCCAAAGATACTATTCACAGTAGTAAGAGCTAAAGATGTGGGCTTTAAATACATAAGGCTCAAATCAAACAGCTACAATAACTCAGATTCTAGAGCAGAGTGAATCAAAATTTCACAATAAAGTCATGATTTTTTACTTAACCCATGAACTGTATTCAACTCCAAATATACTATTCACAGTGGTAATAGCCAAAGATGGTGGCTTTGAATAACATAAGACTCAAATCAAACATCTACACAAGCATAACTCTGAGTCAGGAGCAGAGTAAATCTAAATTTCATGATAAAGTTATGATTTTTACTTTAACCTAAAGGCTAAAGTCATAGAAACACATGAAGTGGAAGAAAAGGTGGAAAATTTATACCTCCAGTTGATGGATTGGAGAGTGATGTGATCAGATTCAGAGGCGATTTTGCGAGCGAGTTCTTCACACTCTAAGCAGTAAAAGAGATGAACTTTCTTCTTCTGTAGTTCAGAGACGATGGCGTCTTTACAAATCAGGCTCTTCTCCATTATATTGTTGTTGGCTGCGTTCTCAGACATTGACGCCGTTGAAGTCTCTGAGTGTCGGAATCAGATTACACGCAAAAGAAAAAAGGGTTTAAAGGTTTTATTATTCGAAAAGGCAAAAGCCCTTGGTTTTTATTTATTGTTCGGCTGACAATTTTGATTCCTTTTACACTTTTTTTTTTATCTTTACAGATTTTTTATTCCTTTACCCAAATCTACCCGTATAATGTCATTACATTTAAATCCCAGATATTCAGGTGATACGTATATTTACTTAAAACGAAGTCGTTGCCTGACTCGTCTTATCCTATCCATCAAACTCGCTTCTTTCTATTTAGATCATAGAGCATAATCTCATCACTTTCTCTCCATGACTTGCATCGTACGTTACCGAGACCCTCTCTAGACTACTTCATTGAGTATAGTTATGAAGAAACCTTTTGAGGCCACAAGGAGATTGCTTCAACGAGAATTACAGATAAAATCCTTAGAAAGATAATCTGATGCTGAGCTTTTGGTGGCGGGTTTGGGTGGGAAAGGTTGAAGAAGAGTCTGATACGTCACTGAAGCTATGGAGACAGAGAGAGAAAGAGAGAGAAACGTGTAACAATATTGTAACGGTAACTAACTTGAGACATATAGCGAGTTTGTTGTAGTGAAACAACTAAACACTGATCATGTTTTTTCAGATGGACACGAGGATGTACACACGTAAGAGAACGATACATATATATACATTACTGACAGAGAAGTTTCCAACATAAAGTGTTTATAATAACGTAATGTACTAAAAGGGATGTTTTTTTTTTCCGTGTAATCCCTAAAAACCTGCTAACTCTGTTGCGAGGAAGATACAAGACTTGATACTATACATATGTTTCTTCCATATCACCGCCCGATCTGTACACTTTTACCTTTGATAGTGGGTTAAAGTTCCCAGCTTACTGGCTTGGGGTTAAGGAAGACTCTTGTGCAATGTTCTTGGAGTTAATGTTCTTAACATCCATTGTGTAAGACCAATCTGAATCAGGCGTGGTTATGTTCCAAATGCTTGAAAATAGTTGGTCCTGTATGATATCAGAGATAAAAGTTGAAATTGGTGGACACTATATTTGAAGAGACTTTATATGCATTTAGATTAAATAGACTACCTGATCCTTGGAGTCTTGACTCTCATCATTGTGGTGGGAGACTTCTTGAAACAATTGCTTTTCTTCTTTCGCAGAACTTGGATTCTGCATGTATGAAGCAAGAGCTGACTTTCCTTGGATCTCTGCATATGCCAATGAAGCTACTTTCCCACTGTTGAATTTCTCCCATATCTTACCATTGAAGGTCTGCAGAAACAGGCATGATAAGTAGGCAGAAACACAGGACTTGACTTGATATTAGGAAAGAGTTGTTTCCTAAAACAATAATGAAGAGAAAAGGCTACAAAACCTGTTGAAAGGGCACGATGTGCAATGGAGAGACCATGTTGACAAAAGCGTGACCCATGTTGCACTTGTTCTGTATCCAGAAGAAATGTAAATCGTCAGTAAGTTCTCAGGTCGTACAAGAGCATCATGAGTTCACTCTTTTATAGTATAGTACCTTAAAATCTATAGGTAAGCACAGAAAGTCATAGTCTCCCTTGTGCTTCTCGTCAATTTCAGCCACCAGCATCTTGTACGTATACCTTAAAAAACAAATCGTCTGAGAGTTTAGACATTACTCAAATGATCCTTACATTGAGATTGAGATCAATAAAACGCTTACTTGTTTGGGATGTTTTTGATGATTAATGTAGTCCGAATATCATCCCCAGTAGCAATTCTATCCAAGTCAATATGATATTGACCACCATCTATGTGTTGGATCCTACCTTGCTCTGTAAAAGGTTCATGTCTTATTGATTGTAATCCTCTACTCCCACCAAAAGGAACTGTATGCAGTGAGGACATGCCAAAGTTATTGTTCCCTTTTCCATGAGGATTGATATAGCTTTTGCTGATTCCCATATCACCAAATCCAAAGGGTATCAAAGAGGATGCCTCTGGTGAACCAGTGTAGCTATTCATATGGGTGTTAAAATGAGTGCTTGAAGGAGCAGAGCCCACATGATGCTGGTACTTCCCAAGCAAAGAAACTTGCCTGTCAGCGAATGGAAAACCATGCCTAACAGCAAAAGGACGTTCAGCAGAGGTTGATGATGAGGACGATGACGCTCCAGTGTAACCAGGGTAGTTCATATGCTGAGGAGGGCTTCCCCAGCGATAACGGTTATCAGATGAAGTCCCAAATCCTGAGTGTGGAGTTATAAACCTCATAGAGTTGGAAATGCCTCCTCCAATATGCTCAGGCAACGAATGAGGTTGCCCAAAAGGAACGTTATGCATCAAACCCTTATTCAGAATAGTTTGGTTTGGATGATTCAATAGCCCTTGTTCACTACTGACTGGTGAAAATCCATGAAAGCTAGAGGTCTGACCAGGGAGAACTGAAGCTAATCCAGGCATGTTATCTCGGTTAAATGGCCTGATGATTCCTAGACCGTGTGGCCTCGGAAATGCATGAGTAGGAGAGCCCTTCAAGGGGGTGCCAATGGGCCAGTTACCTGGTGGAGAATTGGCAACCTGTGAAGCTAAGAAACTTGTAACTTCGTGTCTGTCCAAATCTTGACTTGTTGAAGGGACCGAGCTGCATGCAAATAGTTTCAGTCCAGTGTTTATGATAACTCAATTCTTTTAACTATACAAAGTGTTAGGGAACTCACACTCGACGGGCTCCTCCAGGACGGCTAAGTTCGAGCTTTATACATTTTCCACCTATCTCACTTCTGTTCAGTACTTTTAGAGCTGCCTCTGCATCTCTAACATCATAGTACTCAATGAACCTGTGGAATCGCCTATTTGGAGTTTCTCTAATCTGCATTTAGAAGCCAAGAATTAATAACTGGATACAACCAAAGTGAAAAATATATTACACAATGGCATAGCATATATTATAAGCATATTTGTAGGAAAGAGTTACCTCTCTTATTTCACCATAGGCACCGAACAGCTTAAGGAGCTCATCATTTGATACTGTTGAGTCTACATTAAAAATCACAAGAGTCCCTTGATTCATATCCTTCTCTGACGGATTCTCCTATCATGTGACAGTAAACTGATGATTACAAAAGTGCTAAATAAAGATGAAATGTTAAATCCAGAATATATCTCTCAGAGCTCATACTTTAGGAATGGAAAAGTGAATGTCCAGTGTCCTTTTTCTTAAGAGAGTGTTCTGCAGTGCACGCATTGCAGCATGTGCAGCTCGGATATCATAGTAAGATATCATTACAAAACCCCTGCTTTTGCATGCTGTGTACAAACTCCTGATCTCCCCAAACGGCTGGTGACAAAATAGGATAAGGCTTGAGGACAATGTGAAAGAAAATTACTGAAACAGAGAGTGTTCATACATACCTCAAAGAGAGCGCTTAGCTCAGAGTCATCGATACTGCTGTTGATATTCCTCACAAATAATGTCCTTGAAGGATGTTCACCGTTTGGATGCTCTACTGATACTCTGCCAACAGATGTATTGGGGCGTTTACGAGTAACAAATGCATTTGCAGCACCAACAGGATTATCTTGGGATTCAGCATCCAGTTCCATACCCCCACCAGTGCAGAAAACATCGAGATCATCAAGTTCATCAGGCAGGCCGTTGAAATTAAGCTCATCAATGAGGCCTGGTAGGAGCCCATTTTCATCCTCAGGAAGCAAGGTTTCTAGAGAATGAGGCTCAACATCTTCCAGAGAATCCTTCTCTGAGTTTCCTATAACGAGTTTGTTTAGATTTGGTGAGTTGTCATCAAGTGAGAGCCAGCTATCTGAATCAGTCATATTCACTGCAGAGTTAGTCAAAAAAAGAGAAATAAAATTAGCAACTGTGTTAAGTTAAGTAAACTGATCATGAAAAGAAGGTAGGACATACGCTTTTCATGAAAAAGTGTAGGCAATGAACTAGAGAACATGCTCAGATCACTTGCAGAACGATATCCACTGCCTCCTTTAAAAGCTTCAGATGATCTTCTCAGCAAAGATGGCATGTCTAGATTTTACATTAGCAAAAATATTAAGATCAAACAAAACAAAATCTAAGAAAAAGCAATTTTTTTCTTTTTGTAGAAAGTATCTTTTGGTACCAGCAGATAGTGATTCCTTGGATTCTAACTCCATCTTTTTGGCGTCACCAACTGCATACAAAACAAGAAATAACTGAATTTTCATCATGAAGCAGAAAAAAGAAAGAAAAAAAAAAAATAATTCTTGAGACCAGTAGCTCTCAATTACACAGAGATAAACACATTCAAACAGACAAGATCGAATGTTCCAAACATAAAGACAATCTTATTAAACCACATTAAACCTCTCAAGTTGGTCAACTCTGATGAACTACAGCATAATTTTTTTAACTTCAGACAACATCTGCTGCTTGTGGGGTACACAACATGATCAAAGACAGAATCTTTGCAATAAACTCAAACAAAAAGCTTAAACCTTTGCAATAATTCCAGAAAAAAAAAAACAGAACAATCATAATCAACTACATGAACCATAAAGCAATCAAACAACAACAAAAACCAATAACAGAAACCAACCACGGATAGATTGTTAACTTAGTACCTGCGATGGAGGAAACCATGAACAAACTTAAAAAAGAAGAAAGGAAAGCTTTTGATCAAACTAAAGAGGAAGAGAATCGAAGAAGCAAAGAGAGAGATGTGTTTCTGTTTCGTAGAAGAAGAGTAATTTCTTGCTTACACTCTTCCTCCTCCGTTGCCGGGAAATTACACAAACCAGCGTCACAGAATGAACAAAAAAAAAACCGAATTTTTATTTTTGTTTTCTCAAGGTGAAACAGAGAGACAAGTAAAAGGGGGTGTTTATGTAGTAACAGCAATTAAGAGTGCTAATTAGTAATTATTTGATTAATTAGATAATCTTATAATTTTTGAATATTGTGTTTTTTTTTATTTGTTCCTCGGCGTTAGGCCAAGTGTGGCAACCGTTGACACGAACATTAACCAGCTTGATGACAATTTGATCATTTCCTTTTGTTTAAAGACAAACTATTGAAAACAAATTCTACAAGTTGTAGGTATGTTGACATCTGATGTGTTATGTCCTGTTGCCAATATTTTACTAATTATTTCTTATAAAATAATACTTTAGGTTTACGGAAATATCTAAATCTGATTTCAACAAATACCGAATTTCAGTATATCGATTAAATTAAGCTCTATAAATATTTGAAATTAACCAAACAGTTGTTGTCTGATTAAAAAAATGGAAAAACAAAAAATTCGTCGGTTTCGGATTAAAATCATACCAGAAATTAAACTATTGTTTAAACAAATAAAGACAACACTATATTTTTGAGACATTATCAGCAAATTCGAAACTGAACTATGTCGGTGCTGGTTTTTTAGAAATTAGTTTAAATTCGGTCCAGATAACATCCATCAGTGAAAAATATAAAAAAATAAATAGAAGTGGATCTTGTAAATTTTGAACTCCGGATAACTATTGTTTTCATTGCTTATAGTATGTAGTATTGCAAGAACTTTTTGAGTTTGTTTGGTAATATGTCATATTGAGATTCGGATAACTCGACGGCTTGGTCAAATATTCCAATCATATTGGTATTGAATAATACTACAGTATAACCTCTTTAAATTAATAATCTATAAATTAATATCTCTATAAATTAATATAATTTCATAGTCCCAAATTGAATTTTTGGTTCAATTAATATCTCGATAAATTAATAATCTCTATAAATTAATAAAAATTTTAGTTTTGGTGTAGTCCAAACATTATTAATTTATAGAGGTTTCACTGTAGTACATTAGGTGATTTTCTCGTGCTCATGCACGGATATAAATATTTTTAAATTAAATATATAATAATAATTAATTATTATTTACTTTTAGTTTTAAATTAATTTATAATTTGTATGCATCATTTATATTAATAGTATTATATTACTTTACTTATATTGTAATTTTATATATGTTATATCTAGTCAATTGTGTTGTTTTACGGTTGGTTTAGTTATCATTTGGATAAATTGGATTGCATCTCTGAATTCAACTGTAATATTTTTAAAATATATTAATTTTTAATTAGTCACTTATTTGCATATGGTGGGTGTTGTCTTAGATATGTAAATATATTTTAGGAAAATTATGTATAACTTAAGATATATTGTACTTAGAATGAATTAAAAATTAACTAAAGTGTCTGATTTCAAAATACGTAAATTTGAATAACGAAAATATTCTAAAGTCTCATGGATATATATAAATTTTACAAAAGAACTAAAATTGTAAGAATTGGTTAGTATTTATTTTTATTTGTTAACATGTTTTGAGTTATCATATGATCAATAAAAGGTACATGCATTTATAAATTCTAAATAACTTTATGCTTTAGATTTATTGAATGTAAACTGAAATTTATTTTAAATAATCTTAAATTGAGAATTCAGATTTGTTTTGATATTTTGATTATGGTTATATTTAGTTTCACAAACATAAAACATAAAATTTAAAACAATTAATATTAATAAAATAAATAATTTTGATAATGATAAAATATCATATATCTAGCTCATTAGAACAAGTATTTTGACCAAACTATGTTTATTGTTAAATTTATTTTTAGTTTTTAATATCTCTTAAAAATAAGCACTACACAAAATGTGATTGTATTTGAAAATAATATTATATAAGTAAAATATAAGTTCTAGATAATTTTCTGTAATTGAAAGATATTATAGTCAACTAAATATATGAAAAATAAATAAAAATTCAATAATACTAATTATAAACTATTTTATTACTCTAAAAGTATATTTTATGTT